TATAGTCATCTTATCCATATTGTCTTATGATTCCGAAGGAATTAAAAAAATTGAGGATAATGGATTTCAAACCTTTTTTCGTTTGCTTTTAAAGCGTTTTTTTGTCATTCAGAAGTTATATTTTTAATATTTTTTTTGCAGTTATATTTGTAATTACTATAAAATATCTCTACGGTTTTATACAGGTTTAACCATATTTTCCTTTGGAACACATGAGCCCCAGGTTGAAGTACTGGGCTCCCACCATGTAGAAACTGTGATAGACTATCAAAGAAATATTATGAAAATCCCGAGTAATTAGCTCTGTTTTTTGCTTGACTGAATGATTATTGCATTATGCTTAGAATGACAAATCACATTGCACTGAGAAACGGTTAGATTACTAAGAGGTACACAGTGAACCGTAAACCATTCACTGCACATAGTTTTTAGATGCAATGTGTAATGACAGTTTGATAGGATGGGCGGCTTGGGAGTGGATGGTTAAGGAGGTGAGGGCTCCTGTAAATATTATGGTAGGGAAATGGGAGGGATTGTGTTCTTGCAGAAGGGCGGATGCGTGCAGGCTGCTTATTAGAAGAGAAAAATTTCTTTAACCTAGCTCATCTGATCAGGAGGAAGCTCATGTTGGTGTGTTTTTTCTAGCATAAGGTGTAGAGAACTTGCTTGGCAGGTGATTTTATTGTGGAGATGCTAATGGCTTGTTTGGCTCCTTGCAATTAAAAAAAAAAAACAAAAAGGCTTGTGTGGCTCCTTGGATATCCAAACTCAGGTTTGATTGATATCCTGGGCATGCAAATGCAAGCCTGGGCATTGAACAAAGCTGTGTGGTTAGCTTCTAGTGAGCACATGCAAATTCCATGTTCAGATTTGCGATATCATTCCATTTTTCGGTTAGAAAAGGTTTCCTAATGCTTTCCTTCTTCTATTCATATATCTGACTCTAGAACTTGGAAGGGTAATTATTTCTTTAACTACATGCCCTTAAGTATATTAATTAAAATGGTAGTCACATACTACCATTGTTTCATAAAACTAATATTTTTTGACTAAAAAGGAATAGAGAAAAAAAAGATGATTCAGCACAAAACATTATGGGATGATTGAACAAAACAAACACACATGAATACACCAAAAACTCCATAACAGAGAAAATAATTTCAGACGATTGGACTAATTACCAAAAGAAAAAAAATTGTAGATGATTGCTTAGAAAAATTTAGAGGAGATGATTTTTTACTAAAAGAAAATGATATAAACATTTCTAAACAAGAAATTCTTGTAAATAAATGATTTTTTTTAGGCTGATTCCTCGGTAAAACTTTGCAGTGTTCTACTTCGTAACGTTAAATACAACTGTAGTAACAGACGGTTCAGAAAAAAAGAAAAGGAAAAATGATTTACAGATGAATGTTTTTACTGTTGTATTCTCTATAATAATATAGATTGATTTGCCTTGTAATTAGCGGCCAATTTGTTGTGTAACCATATGTAGATATAATGGTATTAGCCATAAAAGATTGGGAAAAAAATTGGTTTGGTAGGTATATATTAGATTCAGATATGGAGTTCGGGGGGTCTTTGTCAGATGGCTCTGATACGAAGAAGAAAGGCAACCAATTGTTTTCCATTTCTCATAGTGAAAAATGGGGGAGCTCGAACAAAGAGGTCCATGAAATAGAAAATATATGATGAGTGGAAAACGGACGAAAAGTCTGAGTATAGAATAATGACAGTTGTGAAACTTCTTTGCAAAAGGACAAGAGGAGTGGCAAAGAGGAAAGGAGGGCAGTGGTGCTTTGTAATGGAGGAGAGGGAGGGAAGATAAAAGTTTTGTGTCATGAAGGAGAGATGAAGCAGGGAATAACATTGGCTACTCCCAATGCAAATACTTGCATTTGCAAACCCATGTTTTGCGAAATCCCTCTTTTCTTTTTTGCATTGGTGTCCCACTTTTTGAGAGTGCATCTAGTGTTTTTATTTTATCTTTTCTTCTATAAATTGGATTAAGCGCGAATATTTGGTGTCCATACTTCTCATGATCACACATCTATTAAGTTTTTTTTTTAGTAAAAATAAAATGACCAAATTGTCCATACAATATTCGGGGGTATCTTGGTTGTTTCATCATTTTATTTATTTCAAACTGTTATTTTTATATTTTTTAGAGGTGCTGGATGGTGAGCAGTATGGACACCCAAAGATTTGAACTTAATCCAATGTATAGAAAATAACTAAAATTAAAATACAATACATACTCAAGTGGGACATGACGCATCATTATCATCATCCGAGCCGTATCCCAACTACTTGGGGTTGGCTACATAAGTCATATTCTACCATTTTGCTCTATCAAGGGCTATACCTTTAGTCAGACTATAGGTTAGGATATCTCTTCTCGCTACTTCTATCCATGTCCATTTGGGCCTTCCCATTTCTCTTTTAGAGTTTCCACTTGAACCAAATCGCCCCTCTTAACCGGTGTTGTATTAGGTATATGCTGCACCTGGCCAGCTCACCTAAGTCTATTCCTCTAAGTTCTCTCGTATCTATTGATTCTGAATTCGTTGTTTACTCAAGTGAGACATACGTGCAATATATCAAATACTGGGGCTTCTTTAAATTCTGTAAAGTTGAGGGTACGACAGTTGCCTTGCTCTAATTGTTTGTAGCAGATCCATCATCCATGTTCTGAAGGGCTTGGGGGTTATTGAAATTTTGCTTACAGGGCTAAAAAAGTGCTAAATGCTCCTTCCCATCCCATATCCTGGATATGCAAAGCGTGGGTTTGCATATCCTTGGATGCAAACAACTCAACTGTTTTCTTGGTCTTCTTGTAGCTGTCGGACAACTTTTATACCCCAATGAAGATAGCAGATAGCTGATTGGCTTTGGAGCCTCTCAAAGCTTCATTTGCGCTGAAAATTAGGGTTTAGTGTCCTTTTTGCATCCTCTATCTATTAGAAATATTAGATTCGAGAGAAAAACAACAAATTTATCGGATTTGTGAGGACTTGACTAAACAAGTTTGTCGAATTTTTGAATTTATGATAATGCGCTGGAGTATGGGTAAATTTGGAGGACTCGTGATCTTTTCACAATCCTTGCTAGGTTGTGTTGAAATTTTGTGCCTAACCCTTATTTTTTAGAGTTCTTTATCAAATCATAATCTTGTTTTCTAAAGAACTGCTCAAAATGTTGCAAATTCAATTCGAGATTTTGAGCATCAAAGTACTATTTGTCTGAAAATTTCATTAACACAAATCAGATAGATCTAAATGCAGATCCCAAATCTAGTTTAGGGGTTTCAATTTTTGGCATTTGAGGACCCTGGACCAAGATTGGAAGAATTAATTTGCACTAATCACAAAAATTGGGGTTTGTTTTTTGGGTAAGCAAAATGAAGCTTTGTTTTTCCAATTTAAATTTGTGTAAATGACTTTTTTGAGTTAATCAGATAATTTCAGCTAATGTATTCCATTAATATCAATGTTTTATCATTTTTCAGTTTATATATAGGTTGTATAAATTTTTATTATTTTCTTAGTTTTTATTTTGGATTTCTTTTTGATATTTTCCCATTTTTAGGATTTTTTTGGCAAAAACTTGCCTGCTCAAACAGGACTTGGTGAGCCTACTTGTGACTGGTCAAGTTGTCCAACTTTGGGTCTTAAGCAATTCCCAAGGCGAGTTCAAGTATTCCGACCCTGGCAGGAATACTGTTTATTGTATCATTTTAGAGCGCTTTCAGTTTTTTCTTAGAAACTAATTACATCCTCTTGTAATTTAAGGAGATCAAGATGGTTAAATATGATTCTTTTGAGGAGAGATTTGTGGCATCTTGCACGCATATATTATGAGATATCATATTTGAAATTCCTATATTATTGTTAGTTTCAGTATAGACCTAGAAAGGTGGATCTGCCGGCCCAACTCGAGTCTATTGTTTACTTGCATTCACAGCCAATTGTTAGACAACCTTACAATGCGTATGCACACTCGATCATTCTGGGCATTTAAATTTTTTTCAAAATGTCAATCACAGAAATAGTTCTACATGCTTATCAGATGTTAGCCACTCATGTTCATCCATCTGCCTTTGTGAGTGCAATACTTTTTATAGGAAAAGGTCTATATAAGGTTGCAACAGGAGTAAGGTTGCACTCATCCACACTCTCCATTTTATTTGTACGGTGTAAATTTAACACAATATTAAAAGGTGTGCCACTTTTTGACAGTCTCAAAAGACTTGTCAAATCTAATACCGTCAAAGTAAAATGGATGGTGTTTTACTTAGACGGCGTAGAAAATCGAATACTTCTGCAATAGGTGACAACTTTATATACCCTTTTTTATAAGGTAAGTAACATGTTCAAACTCTAGGTGCAGAGTGTTATTGAAAAACTTTCTTCCTTAGTGCTAATGGCTACCAAATTATTGTATACAGCATGTGTTGATTATTGGAGTTGGCTGGATTCTTTTTATTTTTATTTTATCTTTTTGGTTGAGAGTTCCCTGAATTAATTGGGACTGAACAAATGACAAGCATTGCATATTCCACACTGGGTTTCCTATAGAATAAGCTTATTGTACTCATTAATTGTTATGCTCCAAGAGATGTTCATGGCACGAAAATAACCAAACGTGGTCTTGTAGAAAAAGTTGCTGGAGAGGTTCTGTTTTTTTCATCCTCTTTATATGAAGTTTAGGAGTTTCTGAATCTTATATTTTCTCTCATTTGAGATGCTGCATTGGTATCTTATTTCTGCTTTTTTCCATCACAGTATCCTCTTTATATGAAGTTCAAGAGTTTCTGAATCTTTTATTTTCTATCTCATTTGAGATGCTGCATTGGTATCATATTTCTGCTTTTTTCCATCGCAGTATCATCTGCTACCATATGCCACTCCACTTTGTTTATTTAACAAGGCATGTAAAAAACTGATATGAAAAAGACTTTGCTAAAAGAATTGATTTTTGCTGTGGCACCGTTTTTGCAGCTATAAATGGAGGTGGTGACCTCTTGATGACTGAGTGGACCTTCGACCAATGCTCGGTCTGTGCAAGGATGATTGAAGGGGCTCTGTGCATTGTAAACTAGGTTTCTTCTTTAAGTTATCGAGAAATCCCTGTTTAATATTTCTAGTGATAAGAGGCATGTGACTGAAACTGGTCTCTGCTAACTCATTAATTCCATGGCCTTTACTTACATATGGTAATACGTAAATGGAAGACAGTTTGCTCTTAGATTTGGATTCTTGCATGAGTCGTGTATATATGTATTTTGTGAAACTGGAACGACAGCCGGGAGATAACATTGCAGAGGGCTTGCCTGACATTTAACTCATCTCTGCACTGTAAATAGTGTGAATTGCTACTTTAGTTTGGGGCCACTCTCTCTCTCTCTCTCTCTCTCTCTCATATTCAACCAAATCTTGTTTGCATTTGAGTATGCATGTAGAACCCTCTGAACCAATTCGGATGCGATGCACGCAATGGATGCTGCAGATGGACCAGCTGCCATTGGTTTTGCTCTTCCCTGTCCCTGGCTTTGCTCATTGCTGCCGCTCTCCGCTGAAGAAATATATAACAGCAGGGATTTTAATTATAATATTATAAAAATTCGTACTTTTGCCTTTTGCTAATATCTTCTTGTATATCAAAGCACAAATGAAGGGCTTGGAATTGGGAGTATGGGTCATTCATTTTGTTCTTCCTTTATTTTAAGTTTATAGTACCTATAAAAATTTTCATTGGCAAAATTTGTTTCTAAATAAAATATTGATGATGGTGTCATACGACTACGTTTTCTTAAAAAAAATTGATGGAAACTAAAAATCATAATAGGTGGTGATTTTTGTTAAGGCTTAGAACATGTGAAAATAAGTATAATATTACTTTAGAATCTCATCCAAGAAATACTTCTGGCATGGGAAATCTCAATGATGGATCTAAAATCTATTTCTACTATCGGTAATGAAATTTGTAGTTCAAAAAATAGTTGTAGATTTGTGAATAGTTGAAAATGGACGATCTAGATAATGTGTTGTTAAGTATGTATTCTTTCCGGTCATGAAATCTTTACTTTATTTTTTGATATTGTTGAGATGATTAATATGAAGGTATTCAGTTGCATGAACTACAATTTTATTTGAGATTGGGGACGTGAGTTTACTTTTTCCCATAACGTCTACGTGGTTATTTTAACCTTTTCCTTCATAATATTATTATCTATTAAAGAAAATCTGCAAGTGAATAATTAAAAATTATATCATAAAATTAAGATGGGAATAAGTGAAATAAATGTCAAATCCCTTTTTCTACATTGGTGTAAACCAGTGTTTAAAAAACCGTCGAGTCGAATCGGATTCGTTCGGTTCGACTCGGGAATCGACAGTAGACGCCTCGAATCGTTCAAATAATCGGAAATCGCCCGGTTCTAGAGATAATCGGGCGATTATGTACAGTGACTTGCCGATTCACTGTACGGAATCGGCGAGTCTCGTGAAGAACATGGGCTGCACAGTGTTCTTCACGGGATTTTTCAAAATTTGTCATTTTTTTGATCATTTTTTTTGTTTTTTTGGGCATGTGATCTAATATGCAGGCTTTAAACAGCTTTATTCAGCTTTTTCACAGATTAAATGGTTGAGAAATTGTGTTTTTGGATCACGAAAGTTGCATTTTTAGGGTTTCTGCCTTTCCTTGTATTTCATGTCAAATAGGGCATGAATCTGTCAAAATTTGTAGGTATTTTTATCGTAAAGTTGTTCATCAAAACCTACTGTTACGAATTTGTGATAATCGTTGAAAAAAACAGAGTTATTTGGATATTGAAGGTTCGGGTTTACAAAACCAGGTAAGAAGTTTGGGTTTTTTTTTTTTTCCGCCATATGATTAATTTCACTGCATATTTTGAAGATAATGAGTTTAATTGCTAGGGTTTTTAATCTTTATTGTGTCTATTATGATTTAACATATTCAATTTTATTTAATTTGATCAATTACAGCATGAAGTTTTAGATGAACACAATGATGTCTGTGGAAAAAAATTTCTGCTGTTTTTTTTTTTTTTCGCCTTTCGATTTTTTGTTCATGATATATTACAAATAATGTGTTAGATTTCTAGCGTTTTTAATCGTTATAGTGTTGTTTATAATTAGATGTATTCAATTTGATCTGATTTATTCAATTTGAGCTTCATTTTTTAGATTCAATGTCCGTTGTCTGTGAAGAACTGTGTTTTTTTTTTTTGCTCAATTTAATCGATTTGATTTGATTTATTGATGATAATGTGTTCAAAATTTAGGGTTTTGATTCCTTATATTGTTGTTTATAAGAAAATGTACTCAATTGGATGTAATTTAGTCACCTATAGGTGGATTTTTGAGTTAAAATGGCTTATGTAAGATGGCTCTGTGAAGAATATAATTTTTTTTTTTTTCTATCCATGATTGAATTTTTTGTAATACATGATCGAATTTTTTGTAATCCATGATCGAATTGTTTTTTTTTTTTTGTAATCCATGATCGAATTTTTTGTTTTTTGTTTTTTTTTGTAACCTATGATAGAATTTTTTGTAATCCATGATCGAATTTTTTGTAATCCATGATCGAAATGTTTTTTTTTTTTTGTAATCCATGATCGAATTTTTTGTTTTTTGTTTTTTTTGTAACCCATGATAGAGTTTTTTGTAATCCATGATCGAATTTTTTGTTTTGTAATCCATGATCGAATTTTATGTAATCCATGATCGAATTTTTTGTAATCCATGATCGAATTTTTTGTAATCCATGATCGAATTTTTTGTAATCCATGATTGAATTTTTTGAAAATTTGTTTTTTGTTTTTTTTTTTAAATCCATGATCGAATTTTTTTTGTAATCCATGATCGAATTTTTTGAAAATTTGTGGTTTTTTTTTTTAATCCATG